ATCTCTTGGAGGAGCTTAGTACTTTGTTTCATTCATCGATGACCACTCCCGCAAAGTGTAGGATTATTTGTTGAAATCTAAAGATCAGGTACCCCAATCCTTTAAAGAGTTTCATGCTATGGTTGAAAGGGAGATTGACAAGAAATTGAAAGTGGTCTGATCTGATAATGGTGGTGAGTATTGTGGCCCTTTTGATGCATATTGAAGAGTGGTTGGGATCCAACTTGAGAAGACGTCCCCCAAGACTCCACAGTTGAATGGACTAGCTGAGAGGATGAACCGAACTATTGAAGAGAAGGTCTGAAGTATGTTATCCAATGCCGGATTGCCGAAATCATTTTGGGGAGAAACCGTCAGAACTGTTGTTGAATTGATCAACCTCTCACAATCACGGCCACTTGAAGGAGAAATTCCAGAAGAAGTCTGGACAAGTCGTAAAGCGGCCTAAGATCACTTGAAGGTGTTTGGATGCCGAGTTTTTGTGCATATCCCTAAAGATGAAAGAACAAAGTTTGATGCAAAGAGAAAGGAATGTATTTATCTCAGTTCACCAAAATCTGAGTTTGGTTTTCGACTTTGGGATCCAATCTATAAGAAGATAGTGAGAAGCCAAGACATTATCTTTCACGAAGATGAGACTATTCATGACATCTCGAAGCCCAAAGTCTGGGTTACTGTTAGACGTGAAGAATCCATCCCTCTTGTCCGAGCTGAAACATGGGGAGAAAATCAAGAGAATGAAGAAAATGATGACCAACAACAAGCTGATGATGACCAAGATACTGAGGTTCGAGTTGATGATGAGATAAGGATGAGAATGATCAATCGGGTTCTCAAGCCGAAGAACAGCCGATATATCCAACTCGAGAAAGAAGACCCTCTACAAGGTATCCATTTGATAAGTACACTGTTGTTGCTGAAGACGGTGACCCTCAGAGTTATGATGAGGCTGTGACGAGCTCAAAGAAAGAAGAATGGGAAAAGAAAATGCAAGACGGGATGAAGTCTCTGCACGAAAATTAGACTTATGAGCTAACTGAGTTGCCTGAAGGAAGCGAGCTCTGAAAAATAAATGAGTCTACAAGATTAAGAATGAAGAAAACAAGCAGAAGCCGAGATACAAAGCCCAGATTGTAGTGAAATGTTGTAATTATAAAAAAAAAGTTGATTTCGAGGAGATTTTTTCTCCTGTGGTGAAAATGACCTCGGTCCGAACCGTGTTGGCTTTGGCGGCTTCGATGGACCTCGAGGTAGAACAAATGGACTTGAAAATGACATTTCTTCATGGTGACTTAGAAGAAAAGATATATAAATATGGAGCTACCAGAAGGACGAGTTCCAGAATAAGAAGACTTTGTATGCCGGTTGAGGAATAGTCTATACAGCTTGAAGTAAGCACCTCGACAGTGGTACAAAGTTTGAATCATTCATGACTAATCACAATTTTGAGAAGATAGAGGTCGACCACTGCGTATTTGTTAAGAGGTATGAGGCCGAAGATTTTCTGATTTTGTTATTATATGTTGATGACATGCTTATTGTATGGTAAGACAAATCGAGGATAGTAACCCTGAAGAAGGCGTTGAGCTCGTCCTTCGCAATGAAGGACCTCGACCCTGCAAAGAAGATACTCGGAATCAAGATTATTCAAGATAGACAAAAGAAGCTACTATGGCTGAGTCAAGAAAAGTAAATTGAGAAGATTCTAAAGAGATTCAGCATTGACAAAGCCAAAACAGTGAGCAGCCCCTAGCCGGACACATAAAGCTGAACCAGAAGCAATGTTTGAGGTCTGATGAAGACAAAGACGAGATACTGAAGATCTCGTACCAATCTGCTATCGGAAGCTTGATGTATACAATGGTTTGCACTAGACCCGACTTGTCATATGCTGTTGGAATGGTAAGCCGGTATCTATCGAATCCCGGCAAAGAGTACTGGGAAGCAGTGAAGTGGATCTTTTAGTACCTTCGAGGTACGAACAACTTATGCCTCCATTTTGGAGAAGGAAGAGCCGAGTTGCAAGGCTACTCGGATGCTAATTTAGAGGAAGACGTCGACTCAAGGAAGTCGACTACAGGATACTTCATGACTTTTGCAGGAGGAGCTATCTTCTAGCAATCAAGACTATAGAAGTGTGTGACACTTTTGACGACCGAGGCCGAGTACATAGCCGCGATTGAGGCAAGCAAAGAAATGTTGTGGATGAAGAAGTTTATCTCTGAACTCGGCCATGATAAGACAAGTATGAGCTGGGATGTGACAATCAAAGCGCAATTCATCTTTCAAAGAATTTGACATATCACTACCGCACTAAGCACATTGATGTGAGGTATCATTGGATGCAGGATGTGGTGGAAGATAAAGAGCTCGAACTCGTCAAAGTGCACACTGACCAAAACTGGTTTGACATGATGAAGAAGCTAGTTCCAGTAAAGAAATTTGAAGACTGCTGTGAAAGAGCCAGGTTGATGCTGAAGCCGACGTATTGAAGTCGGAGTAGGAGATTTATTGGGCTTCTTCATTCAATGCTAAACTCAAGCCAATTGAGGAATTTCCTAAAAATCCTAAACTCTAGATTTCATCTCCTTTATATATTCATTAGTTATGGGTGGAGGCTAGGTCAAGAAGAAGAAGATTATTGAGAGACTCTTGAGTGACACTTGAGAGATTTGTAAGTAAAGCTTTGAGCTTTGCATTTGAGAGTACCTCTAGAGAGAGTTTGAGTGAAACATCTCTAGGGAAGTCTAATTATCACCACTGTTGGAGAGGTTGAGTGAACCACCACTTTGGTGAAGGTTGATTCTTTGTACATATTATTATCATAGTGGACGTTTGAACTGGACTAGGTCCCGCGGGTTTTTACCTCTTCATTGGAAAAGATTTTTCCATGTTAAAATATAATTGTGTTCTCTTTCTCTCTCTCCCCTTTGTATTTTCTTTTTCGCTGCGCTGAACGACCTGGTGATTCAGGCCGAGTTCAAATTGCCGAGATTCGAGATCCAGGATCTTGTTGATTGACTTCCTCGAAAAGGCTTCTAAGTCGAGTTGAGGGAACCGAGTTCCCAACAATATATATATATATATATATATATATATATATATATATATATATATATATATATATATATAGGTAGGATCCTTTGACACCGGTGTCAAATTTGAAGTTTGACACCTCATCTGAGAGCCGTTAGATCAAAAAAGATCAATGGTATCACATGCTTACAAATCAGAGTCGTTGATCTTTTTTGATCTAACGGCTCTCAGATGAGGTGTCAAACTTCAAATTTGACACCGGTGTCAAATGATCCTACATCTATATATATATATATATATATATATATATATATATATATATATATATAAGTGTCAGGATCATTTTACACTAGTGTAAGTTACACTCTTAATCTTGTCCATTAATCCCACATATGTCTAAGGGCTCAAATTTTTTAGTAATGTGAGCCATCGGATGCAAGTGGATCAATGGTCAAGATTGAGTGTAAGATTTCTAACTCTTACACCGGTGTAAGAATATCCTGCCCCATATATATATGGGTTTTATAATTCTCATTTAACATGAGAATTACAATTTTCCTACACACCCTTCGATTTCCGTGCTGACATGGGTCCTACATATAATTTTTTCTAACACATGGGTCCCACATGCTTTTTATCTCTACAACATGAGATTTCAATTCTCCTTCAACGTGAAAATTATAAAACCCTATATATATATATATATATATATATATATATATATATATATATATATATACCATTTTCCTTCCAACAAACTAGCATTCGAAGGGATTGAAAATCTGTACAAACGTGCATGTAATTAGTATGTTTCCCTTTTAAAATCTTGTCATCACACTTAGGTATTATTTTTGCTTTATAATTGGTACGATTAGAAAGAAGATTATTATTATTTAAATGAAAAACGGGGCGAATAAGAGGAAACCAGGAAGACTCCAGCAAGCGACAACCAATAGCAAAGGAGTGGGCACGTTAAGCAAGAAGACCTACTCACTCATTACCAACTCTGAGCATATATATGTTGACAAAAAATCTACCAATCTATACTCAAAAGTTCCTGAATCAGGACCATGAGAGGAGCACATGGATGTCAGGGGCATCCCAAGTAAACAAAATAGAGAATTACATACAGCTTTTGCTTTGTGGATTGTGGATCACTCTTCTGAGAACCTTATCATAAGCAGGCTTAACGCCAAATTACACTATTCCCCAGAGTTCAACCATTGCTATGGGGCACAAACCTAGATTAGCCACACACAAAAAACCCATTTTTTTGTGTTGTGTGTTTATCTCTCTATCCTATCAGGTCAAAATTGACATAAACAAATAATTATTCCCTTTAATGAGAATATTTTAAAAAGTATATTAACAGGGAAAAATGTTTGTCCTTTTAAATGATATAATTTATATCATTTCATTCTCACAAAGAGGTGAGACTCAACCCTTTTTTTTGGTTCATTTTGTCTCTCATGATCTATTTATTTCTCTCATTTAAAATAAGATAACTTTATATCATTTAAGATCACACACATTTTTTCCATATTAATAACCTTTGACATTTGCAAATGGTTGTTGGACGTTGATATCAATTAAATGAAACAAATTCCTTATCATTTAAATCAATGATTATGGATAGAAATTATTATTTAAATAGAGTAAAATTTCCATGAAGTCTCTCCAAACAAACTTATCATGATTCTATATAATCGTAGTCTAATTAGAAAATGATTGATGATTAGCTAGCAGCGAAGGAAAATAAACATGTAATAGGGTCACAATATCATTTTCTTCCAACACTTAGATCCTAACAGAGGACAACACAGGATACTTGGCCCCACCCCCAAGAAAAAAAACTACAGAAAAGAAAAGAAGTAAAGAGAGGAACAAGGGTCCAAGTCAGGGTCTTGTGCCTATATATAATAATTAGTGGTAACCACAAGCTTTCACAACTTCAGACACAGAAGATGGGTTCTATGTGGAATGTGTTTCTGGTTTTGGCATCATTGGTCTCTGTTGCACTATGCGCCCCTCCACGGAGGCCAGTGGATGTAGAATTCGGACGAAACTATGTGCCCACTTGGGCTTTTGATCACATCAAATACTTCAATGGAGGTTCTGAGATTCAGCTTCATCTTGACAAGTACACTGGTCAGTAGTAGTAACTTACTCCTCCTTTTGTAGAACAAAGTTAATGTTCACCACAACCTCATCTATTTAGTTCTAAACTTGGTATATTATTCATGTTTCTTAGGTACTGGCTTCCAGTCCAAAGGGTCATACTTGTTTGGTCACTTCAGCATGTACATAAAGATGGTTCCTGGAGATTCAGCTGGCACTGTCACTGCTTTCTATGTATGAAAAAAAGTTTCAATTTCTGATTTTACTTTTCTTTTTTTGCTTCCACCGGGATTTTTTTTTAGTTTCTACTGTTGTATGTGAATGTGACTTTTGCTGTGATTGGAACTACACAGTTATCTTCCCAAAACGCGGAGCATGATGAGATAGATTTTGAGTTCTTGGGGAACAGGACAGGACAACCTTACATTTTGCAAACAAATGTGTTCAGCGGAGGCAAGGGTGACAAAGAACAAAGAATCTATCTCTGGTTCGATCCCACAAAAGGTTATCACAGATACTCAGTTCTGTGGAACATGGATCAGATTGTGTAAGTACTTCATTCAAATCTTGTTCTTTTTCCTTAATAAGAAACAATCTAATATATACCCTTTTCACCGTTCCATCTTACTCGCCCAAAATGTAGTTCAATTTTGTGATAAAAAAGTAAAAAAAGACACAAGTTGTGAGTGAGTATGCTATGCTTAATAACATAAATCCAAATGTGGGTTGTGCAGGTTCTTTGTAGATGATGTCCCAATCAGGGTGTTCAAGAACAGCAAGGACTTGGGAGTGAGATTCCCATTTGACCAACCAATGAAGATATACAACAGTTTGTGGAATGCTGATGATTGGGCCACAAGGGGTGGTTTGGAGAAAACAGATTGGTCCAAAGCACCCTTTATAGCAGCTTACAAGGGCTTCCACATTGATGGGTGTGAAGCCTCTGTGAATGCAAGGTTCTGTGCCACACAGGGTAAGAGATGGTGGGATCAACCAGAGTTCCGTGACCTTGATGCTGCTCAATGGCGAAAGCTCAAGTGGGTGCGCCAGAAGTTCACCATTTACAACTACTGCTCTGACAGAAAGCGCTACCCTCAACTACCCCCTGAATGCAGAAGAGACCGTGATATTTAAATTTTCATATACTATTGTTATTATTGCTACCATTAGTTCTCATTTACTTTTACCATATTGTTATTAATGCTACCATTAGTTCTCATTTACTTTTACCACCATGTCACATTGTTACTCATACGACTTTATATTATATGAGTTTTTATTTAATTTATTTTATTTTTCCACTATTACCACTTGAAGCAACCAATAGTTATTGGTGTATGATTTTTTTTGGATACATGTATGCGTTTCTCTTTGTGCTAGAAATGGGCTCTGTTGGAGAACCAGTTGTGTATTGCATAGATCTGTGTTCTGATCCTCTTGTCCCATAAATGACAAAGTAGGAAGTGGTGCTATTAATAATAGATGCAGAAAAGACACTGTACCCTGTTAGCGTGGCATCATTGAGCACTCCGCATGTGAACTGCATAGGAATGGTTGCAATGAATAACATTTTTTAACTAAATTCAAGGGCTTTTTTAAGGAACATTATTTGACATGTCTAGGTGAGGATTATCAAGTAACATGGTTTGTTTGGGCTTTGGCACGTGGGGTAAAGTAATTTAATGTGCATAATGACTAAAAAGCACGTAGCTAGTCAATGCAGGAAAGGATGAATGGACAATAATAACACGGTGTCTATGTACTGCACAATAAATCTTTAGTACTACTGCGTACTATGATTTATTGTATTTCATCAATGAGAACAATACTCATTAGAGGAGAGAAAAAAAATTTGACAGAAAAAAAAAAAAATTAGCTGACATGTAATATTTTTGTTGGTGGGATGCACTGAATCTTTGGTACAACAGTAGAGATTTATTATGTCTTGCATTGTTTCAAGCCGCGATGAACGGTTTGAAGAGCTGAAAAGTGGCATTATGGTAAGGTTGAAACAGCAAATAATTAAGATTCTTTTCTTTCCAATAGGGAAAAGCTGCAAAATGGGGTGGCTTTCTTTTCTATCCTGATTTGAACTGTGTAAACACGAAGGTTATTTCAAATAAAACCATGTGATTGCAGAGTTTTCTTTTTGAAGTTTAATTCACGGACAAAAATTGATGTTGAATGTGGAGGACTTGTCTGCCACCTTATACTTATTTTCCGGACAAAAATTCAACATGGTGGACCATTGTTTGACTCGGTGATCTATGAGGCCATAACCTCTTGGACGTTTGAAATAAAAAAGTGCGTAACAATGCAAATATGGTGCGTCGCATCTTACGACAAGAAACCAGAACCAAACAACTGAACAATTCTTCAATTGATTAACAGAAAAACAAAGTTTTACATCTCATTCATAGAAGAGTAAATGCAGATACAAAAATCATCAAGAGGTAAAGAAAAGGGAAAGTAAGTCTACCACATATAAACCTAATTATAGTTACCATCAGTAAAACAAATTAAGTAACCAAGATTACTATTATCTGTAATTAGTATATGTGCCGTTGGGATCTATAAGCCCACTATATTTCCTTTGGGAATGATGTGACTGTATGGATGGTGTCACTAGCAGAGGTAAAGACCAAGCTAGAGAACACTGTACCAAGTATGATGGCAAGAAGATAACAATTGATGATTCAGTGTGAGTATATGTGACTTAATATAAAATGGACATAATAACGATACATAAGATGCTTCTTTGGGGTGCCAAAGAGGGCTATTTATAAGAAGGTCGTATGAGCCTCCTATGGGTTGGTGAGGAAGGGGTCAACCCTTCTTGGGATCTGCTCATAACAGCAGATGATGTTGGGCGTAACAGGCGCTGCTATGATAGCAGTGATGCGCCTGGCGGTGTCAGCGTATGTCAAAGGGGCAGTTCCCTCTTATGGCATCTGGGGCGACTGCCTTTGGGAGTTGGGGTCCCGAGATGGGACATTTTGGTGTCTCCCCTAGGGAGTGTCGTTTCATTGGGAGTTGGGGAAGGTTGCCAGTTGGTAGGGCTGACGTAGATATGGAGTTATGATTAGGCTTGGACCTTTGGGCCACTGCTGTTGGGCCATCCGGAACAGTATAGAAACTAATTAAATAATAATATGCTTATTACTCCCCCTTAAGATGGACAATGAATGTCCAACATTGCCATCTTGGACATTAAAGAAGATAAGACTGCAGCAAATAAAGCTTTGGTGAAGAGGTTTGCTAATTGATCTTGAGACTTGATAGGCATCAAGCGGATTTGTCCAGAAGTAACTTTTTCTCTAACAAAGTGACAATCAATTTCTATGTGTTTTGTTCTATCATAGAAAGCTGGATTAGATGCAATGAGAACAGCAGCTTGGTTGTCACAAAATAACAAGGCTGAAGAAGAAATATGCAGACTAAGATCAATTATATAATGACCACAATTAGTAAAACTTAATTGGAGATTTAATTTAAGGATTTAAATGCCATAATTAGATTCAGAATGTGATTTCAAGTATTTTGACTGTAATCATGACTAGGTCATGAACAGTGCTTTATGCCTGATGTTCTTCATTGTTGTGAATCAATCGGTAGAGCTTAAAATGAGCAAGATGAGTTTAGAGACCTAATTTGGCAATTTTGATGCCAGATATGAGTTCAGAACAAAAAATTATATAGTCTGGCACTTTTTGTGAAAATCTCATGAATAGTATTTTTGCCGAGTATTTTGTACTGCTATTTAAGCAACCGGTGGAGTCTAAAACTAAATGATTGATGAAATAAGATTAAGGAAGTTCAATATATGCCAAACAAGTCATGTTTAGACCAAAAGTGTTAAGTTTATAAGTTTTACAGTTTTGTTTGTAAACAATGCATAGTAAGTGATTCACAGTGCATTTCATCAAAAACGGTGCAAAAACCATACTGTGAATTGAAAATACTATTCCTTGTGAAATAAAAATTAATGTAAATAAGTTCATAAAAATAAAAATATACTCGTAGCTTTAAGTAAATGTCGGGTCAATTTAAGTGAAATTAAGTGAGAGGAAAACAACCGGTAAAAGATTACATATCATTATAAACTTAAGTTTTTACCTAAAGTCACTATTCACTGCAGCAACTCATCTTCTCTCTCTCTCTTGGCCGAGTTTTCCTCCATGGAAGGAGCTAGGGTTTCATTTCTTTTTTCCTTGATTTCTCGCTCAAATAATCACCAAAATACAAAGTGTCACACATGAAACTTTAAGTAGAGATTATTGTGAATCCATCCCACTACTTTGTTTGGGATGAAAGAGCTTGTGTGAAGAGTTTTCTCCTTCTCAAATTTTGGGTTACTATTCATTCTAGAGAGAGATTGGGTTTTTGGGTGGAATCAAGCTTGGGTTTTGTTCTCCAAGCCTTGTATAGGTGATTTGAGGTAAGAGATCCTCATTCCAATAGTTTAAATGTCATGATTTAAGTTTTGAATATTATGAGTACCTTTTGTGGAATGTTATTGAGTTTGAAAATTGAAATTTATGATGGATTAGTGTAGTTAATGAAGTTATACTGTTAAATAAGCATGATTATGAGCTGGAATGTTGAAAAATTCCCTTGCATATTCCTCCCTAGATTTCGGCCATGTAGTGATGATAGGGGTTTGGAGTGCAAAAATTAAATTGCATAATTTGTGAATGTTATATGTATGTAGAAGTGTGAATTGAGTGGTTAAATTGAAAGTATAATGAAAAATCCTTTGGAAAACTCTCCCTATAGAATCGACCATTAGGGTCTAATTAGGGATGATTTTGTAAAACATTGTTTTGAATATGTGTGAGGTTCCAATGCATGGAATTAATATGTTTGTGAAGTGAAATGAATATATGGAAGTTCCTAGCTTCCCTCATGAAAGATTGAACATAAGGGTTGACGGACAGAAGTATCCAGCCGGTGCAATATGCGGATGAAAGTTCTTTACATAAGACCAAGCAATTTGTGTTGATAATGCGCAAGCAACCCAATCGAGTATGTGATACAATCCTCTTTGCTAGAACAGCTTGTCATTGACAACAATTAAGGGGACTATCATAGTCCCCATCTATAATCCATTTTGGACCACAAAAAATTGGTGATTAGAGAAGCAAATATATTCTCCACAGACAGGAACTTTGTGGACGAAGCAATAGTTTCCTTTATCTTATTGAATTACTTTAGTAGTTGACAATGACGCGCGACAGACTCCTGTTAGCTAGGATGTTTCAAGCTCTGCGCGACAATCATAATGATCATAAAATTAGTTTCACATTTGAAAAAATGGGATTGGATTTTCATTTTTGCCTTTGTCTTTTGGCTTCTTCTTTTTTTAGATAAACCACATGTATCCTTCATAGGAGGCAATTTTGTTCGGGGCGAGTCCAGTATTAAAGCTTTAAACCCCTCCCAAAGATGGTACTAGGGAGGATAGAACACATGCTCTCACCCTCACCTGCTCAGCTCCCATACGCCAACTGAGGTACCATCATTTGGTGTCTTTTGGCCTTTTCGAGTCCATCTTAAATGGGATAGTTGCCACATGTAGACCCCATTTGCTATTTTCTAACTTTGACTCTCCTTGCCTTTTTTCTCTACCTCTATTTTTCTCTCTTTTCCTAATGATTGTTGCGGTGGAACGATGCCATTCCAAGGCTGCCTCATAGTCTAGAGACTTGTTTTCCCTATTCCTTTCGAAGGTACTCCCTCCTTTTTTATCTTCTATGTTTTTTTATGGTTATAAACCACAATATGAGTGGTAATAACCTTCATAGGGTGCCAATCCAACCTCCATTATGTTGTACGAGGCGACGACGTTCACCTCTAGTGTCAAAGTGCACATAGTGTTGGGATTTGGGTCTAGTATACACCTCTAGCAAGCTCAATGACTCTTTCTCTATGGACAGGGTATGGATCACATGGCCTATGTAAGGATAGCAAACCCCAAGCCCTTCCTTACCATGATCGAGCTTATAAGGGAACTTTGTCATGTTTTGACTTAAGTTGCTTGCCTTGAATGTTGACTTTAGGTATCTCGGTATGGCTCAATAGAGAATTATGAATGTTTCTCCGAGGTGACACTCTATGCCCCATAAAACATTGTGTCCTTCAATTTGGTGGACTTAAAAGCCTTGAAACCCATTTTACAATCCAAAACAAAGAGAACTTTCCAACCATATCATCCTACATCCACCTTATCCCAATTGAGATAGGGACAATGAATGGGTGATTTTGCCTATAAAGAACTAATTTAATCCAAAAACTTAAGCTGTTAGATGATGTTACATTAATTATTTTATATTTATCTAACATTTTTCCTCACACGAGAGCTCACTGAGTTTAAAGAGTTGATAATGTATCAAGTTCAGCTTACTTGTGCTAAGAGACTCTATAATATTTAATTATTTTTTATTAATAGAATGAGGGTGGTGAAGATCAAATTCATGACCACTTAATCACGTCAGCTCTGATACCATGTAAAGAATCAATTCAACCCAAAAATTTATATTATTGGACAAGGCTATAATGGTTTTATATATATATATATATATATATATAACATCAACACCGATTCGAAGACGAGTAGATTAGAAACCTCAGGTTCAAGGTGCATACTTTCTCCCCACGTACGAATCATCTTCCCCAAGCTCAAGGTACATATTTCCTTCACCAAATTGCAAATTAGAGCTTTCTAACACCTCAATGTGGTCCCTTCCCAACCTCACCCAAACTACTAGGGTTTCATGACGTGCTTTGAAGTTTTCTTCAATATGCTAGGTTGGACGTGCTCAATCCTAGCTTTCTTTTGGCTCTCCAACACTTTAATTATGTTCAATGATCATCAGTTCATCACTTTGATTCGATCCATTTTGCATCTTGTGAGGTGACTATGTGGACTAATATCTTGTACACATCAATTATTCAAGTGGAGAGCACTTTTTGTACATCATTGAAACATACGACTTCTATTTAAGAAATTATATTTGCATTTTTTTTCTTCCTATTCCGTACATATATCATAAAATATGGATCATTTTTATTGGACTGTCGCACCCATTTAATGGTGCAACGATAGTATCCTAAATATTTCGATTCAAGTGAACCAAACAACCCCATTTGAATAATTTATATTTTTAATATCTTTTATATATAAATTTTTAAAAAGTATTAAAATACTCAGAAAGTCAATTAAACTTGTTTTAATATTGAAAGAGGAGCAAAATGATACAAAAAAGGAATAACTAATATTATTCTTCACAAATCAAGTATGAATAATAATTGTAAGAAAGTTACGATAATAATTGGGACAAATTAAATATTTTTTAAAATGATTAAACTATTACATTATTTTGTTGTAAATGTCTTAAAATCTTATTCTAGAATTATTTTGTTAGTAGTGCGATTTGTAACCCCTTCCACAAATCATTAAAAAGGTGGGGATCTATCGTGATTCCAATGAAATACTAGCATCTAATTTCATCTAAATTTTTATTCTCCTAAGAAAACAAATCATGTAGCACTATACTAACACCCAGAGATTACTAATGAAATCATTTAACAACAGAGATTACTAATGAAATATTGTAAGATTATAAACTTTAAACACTTTTCATGAGGAATAGACAAAGTAATTCAATCACGGTGCATATATGGCAAGCAATGTTTGCTCCTAAATAGCTGACATAGTTATATACAAGTATGTAATTGTGTGCCTATCCATAGGTACAAGCTCACTTACCACTTAACCAACCCCTTGAGTAGGGGTTTTCAAGACTTGTTTCAATCCAATTACTCGACTTGACTCAAAGATAATCGACTTGAATTTGGGTCTTGAAAATTTAACCGTGTTTTTTCAGTTAGTTTCGGGCCATATTTTTTAGTATTAACATGACTAGTTTCCATGTAACATAAAATATTTTAAATTAATTTTTAAAGAAAAAATAATAAGTTATAAGACCTCTTGACTTAAATTAATTTCTTTCATGTAATACGATAATAATTTTTTATTGGTATAATTTATTTTGAATTACATATTATAAAACATTAATTTGTTTTATTTTTTAACTTATAAAATTTATGTTTTAGTTACATATATTATTTAAATCTGGAGAATGTTTACAAACTAAACTAAGTATGACCGGTCATACTTCAATCAAGAGTGTATGACCGGTCATACTTAGTGTAATTTGTAAAAAAAAATTGCAAGCAGATCCTTCCTCTTTAAATTTATATATCTAATATTGAATCACTCAATCTTAGGTTAGTCTCGTCCTTTCTCCGGTTGCGAAGCTTAGTGCACCTACTGTTACAATGAGGGGCTAGCCCAAACGGGCCGTACCCCGAGGGCATGGTGCCCGGAGAAGGTTGAATGGGGATACCTCCTGACAATGTACCAAAAAAAAAAAAAAAATCGACTTGCACTTCAAAAATTAACCTAATATAATATTAAGCCAAATTCAAATTAAGTTAAACTCGGCCATAAGCACCATTAGGCTCGAAGTCTTCTCAAACAATTTAAGCCCTATGCAAGATGCTACGGTGGGCCTGTCCACCGATAAATCCTGTAAGAATATGCAGCCCCTTTCAAGAGCATATCCGAATCTTTGCATTTGAACTTGAAAGCAACGTTTTTAAAAATTATATAATATTATATCAATTGGTTGAATCAGTTGCAAAACTGCTTTACATTTAATTATTTTTTATATAAATTAAATTAAATTAATTAATTAAACCATAACTTAGAGATCTTACATATTCAATATTATGTTCGGTTTTCAAGTCAACGCTTTCAAAGGCGATATCAAGATTCATTTTAATTTGGAGCCTCTTGTTTAAAAATTAAAAAATGAAATTTTAAAACTCAATTAGTTATTTTTTTAAGAAAAACTTTTTTATAACTAAATTCGTACATGTAAAATAGAAATTCTAAATGGTTATTCTATTTTTGAGAATACAAAAATAAGTTCAGAGTGAAACCTGAATTTTCTGTTTCTCCATTTTAAAGGCTTACAAAATTATCTCTTTTGTCTGAACATATGGTTAGAAATTGAAATGTGAGTAATGAAATTTTATATTGGTTAAAAATTAAGTAAGCTATGGCTATATTATATAATTACAAGGATCCATAAACCCAATATAAATGGAGATAGAAAAAAATAAGAAAAAAACAAAATAAATAATAAAAGTTTAGGAACAATAAAGCTTAAACATGCTGTCATTTTTCAATTATTTATTTTCCTAACACAGTGAAGCACCAATTTAACTTAAAAATTTAAACTATTAAGTAAGGGATAGGATATTGTAATAATCAAGTTGTGTTACTACCAATTTTACTACCAATCAATTTCACCGTTAGATCGATAATGTTGATCCAACGGTTATATTTATTTCCATCTTTGTATGGTTATGATTCCTCATATTTAATACTTTATATTTATTTCTACCTTTATATGGTTATGATTTCTCATATTTAATGCTTTCACTTTAAATACGGGGAATCATAACCATATAAAGATGAAAATAAGTATAACTGTTGAATCAACATAATCTATCTAACGGTGAAATTGAGATATTGATTGGTAGTATAATATCTTTCCCCATTAAGTAAACATTAATAATTTTATAATATATTTCTTTACGTGTCACATTCTATTTTTGATTTCACGATATTGGAAGTGACAGAAAAGAAAACCGCAAGAGGAATAGCAAGGTGTACATAGCCTAGTATCAACATTCATATTTCAAGGTAAGAAATATATTGCCCAATTAGAAAGCCAGAGAAAATTGATGGTTCTGTTTCTCAGTACAAGTTTAGAAAGAAAAATGAAAAATGAAGCAAGAACTGTACTAAGCATACAAAATTAAAATGACATTGGTACATAATTAACAAATGGGGTTTGTAATTTGGCTCATTTCCAATTGTTGGCAACAATGTCAGCCAAATCCACAACCCTTTGAGAGTAACCCCACTCATTGTCATACCAAGCAATCACCTTCACCATGTCATCTCCCATTACCATTGTCAATGATGAGTCAACGGTTGATGACACGTCAGTGCACCTAAAATCTACTGACACAAGTGGCTCATCACAAACTGAGAGAATACCATTGAGCTCCTTTGCTGCACTCTCTCTGAAAGCTTCATTCACTTCTTCTGCAAAGGTCTTCTTTGTGACCTGAACAACAAGGTCCACCACTGAAACATTTGGTGTTGGCACACGAAGTGCAATGCCATTGAGCTTTCCTTTGAGGGTTGGGAGAACAAGGGCCACAGCCTTTGCTGCTCCTGTTGAAGTTGGGACAATGTTAAGAGCTGCTGCTCTTGCACGCCTGAGGTCACGGTGGCTTGCATCAAGAAGCCTTTGGTCACCAGTGTAAGAGTGAGTTGTAGTCATGGTACCCTTTATAATACCTGTCATTTAACATGGGTTTCCATTGGCATAGTGGAGAATATGATCTTTCATCATGTAAAAAAACTTGGCCTTACACAATGTCATTGACAAGTGATTTGAGATGTAATATAAAAATGATTCATGTATCTTCACCTAACAACTTGAGTTTTTGTTTTGTTTCCCAACTGGTTCATTGATTATCTGATTATTCTTATTCAAGCACTGCCTCACCCATATTAGGGACCAATCTCAAACTCGAAACTTCTAATTAAGGGGAACTAAGTACTTACTTGAACCAATATTTATAAGTAATTGCTTAAACTTTTGAGAGAGTTAGTTCATAGCATGATATCAAAGCCTCTAAGATCAAGTGGTCTAGAGTTTTGATCCTTACTGTCCCATTCTTCTAATAAAAACTTCAATTTTAGCACAAGATAAATGAACCTAAGACCCTTGATGTGAGGTGGCGTGTTAGAGATGTGACCCTTCAATTATTTTGAAACACTCTTCAATTTCATAATAACTTGATATAGAATGAAATTTGATGGAAAATGTGGGGACAAGGTAAATTACCAAATTTCTGATCAAGAACCTTGACGAAGGGGGCAAGGCAGTTAGTGGTGCAAGAAGCATTGCTGATGATGGGTTCATCTGGATTGTAAGCATCAGCATTGACACCAACCACATAGGTAGGGATGTCTCCTTTGCCAGGGGCTGTGATGAGAACTTTCTTAGCTCCTGCTTGAATGTGCTTCCCTGCACCTTCTCTATCCACAAACACACCAGTTCCTTCAATCACCAAGTCTATCCCCAAGTCCCTGCAATACCATAAACACACAACCTTCATACATATATATACCAGTTTCTTCAAAGGTGAGCCAAATTAGTTGCATGGCAGGGGGAAAATGAAGAAGAAAAGCTTACTTCCATGGGAGGTTGACAGGGTTGCGGTCCGAAACAACTTTGATGATCTTTCCATCAACGGAGATACCATCATCACCAACAGGCTTGACATCAGCATCAAAGATTCCAAGGGTGGAATCATACTTGAGAAGGTGAGAAGCTTGCTTGATACCTCCAGTGTCATTGATAGCAATGACATCAAGTGGAGATTCCTTACGACCGTGCCAGCACCTCAAGAAGTTCCTTCCAATCCTACCAAATCCGTTTATGGCCACCTTCAGTTTTGCTTCCACTACACCTTTCTTGTATCCTCCACTGCTTCCAACCTTCAAAAGTACATTTGAATTTTATTTTATCTTTTTCTTAATTCTTGGATAGAAGGGCGGGCCTCGAGTAGTGGTAAAGTTGCTCCTTTGTGACTCAAATGTCACGGGTTCAATAACGAGAACATGTACAAAGTGATGATCATGAATCGAAGAGTGTTGTATTATTGTTGCAATCACATGGTCTCACATTAATGTGATATAATAACTACTAGATGAGTCAAAATATGAATCTAAAGGATTTTGCAATGCACCATCTATATGTATGGAAAGAGTTAGTCATGTTACATAACTTGGGAAAAATACATTGGTTTTCATCACATATCATTTATTAAAGTCATTAAGTGAAGCATTAAAAGAGCTAGCTTTAATGACTACGATAATTAATTGTATATCTACACCTTCTACTTAACTTTACAATAAAATTGGCCACTTACTGCGGAGGTTTGGAAAGCAATGACAGAGTTGAAATCCTCAGAAATTTTTCTAGAAAGTGGAAGGTAGCATGATGAGTTGCGGAGACCAGAGAACTCAGAGAAGCCTTTTCCATTTGCCTGAATAGAGCAATGAATGAAAAACTACTATAAACAGCTAGCTCTAAACACAAAATGGCACTGCTAATATAACTTACTTTAGATGTATGTTAATGAAACTTAGGGGAAAAAAATACATGAATAAGTAATTGTGGAACCTGAAGAGCTGGTTTGGCTACAGAGAGAGTAGCCGAAGCCATGATTCAGGACTGAATTTTCTGAAGCAGTAGTGTAGAGCCTTGCAAGAAAAAAACACTTTCAAGTTACATATTATGTCTCTTTAAGTTTAATAAGCGACCAAAAGGAGGTAACGTGGATGTGTGGCTGTGACTCATGAGACCAAAGTGAGGATGAGATTATGGATAGCCTCTCATTATATGAATGGACGTGATTGGTGCTTTCTTCTTGTGCTTGTAAAGTTCAATCATGTGACTCTACCATTTTCTTACTCTATATTGATGATTGGGCCTTAAACCTTCAATCTTATGTGGCCCAGTTTATGGGTTTTCCACTGACATCAGTGGACAATAAAATTCTGTGAAATGATACTTGAAAAAAGCTTATATATTTTTAGCCCTAAAACAAGAAATGTGACAAGAAAAATCTGTGATAACTCTGTTCAAATGGTACTGTTGAACTTGTGGGCAATATGAGAAACCCACACAGTGAGAACGACAAATACAAATATGTGACAGGAGATACTAATGGACAAATGATCGAGTTTATGGCCATTCTTTACTTGGTTTCATGTGTTCAGTACTTGCTCTCAATTCACAAATCCAAATTTGATATTTTACGGTTTTTTCATAAGATCATCATAACTATCTATATTTATATCTAGGATATCTATATCATTCACAAATTCAAACCTTTATATTGATACACAATTTTCAAATTATTATCATTTGTTTGTTATTTATTTTTTATTCGTTATATATTTTTATATTATAAAATAGTTTTAAGCTACTAAATATAGATTTAAGAAACTAAATTTATAAAAAATAAATAAAACAAAAACCTATAGCACTAATGTTAATGGTGGTTAATCAGAATTAATGGGTGTTCAAAGCCATGTAGCTTTTAAAGAAGGGGTGTCTAAAACTTATACTGAGACCCTAGATGACATATGGAGTAAATGTAATCCCCTTTTGTTTAATTTTGGTTGTTGTTATTGAGATAATGAGATGACTAGTTGAATACATATTCAACTCTCATGTTAAAATTTCATATTGGTCATGTAAAATTTTTATATCTATCTCTCTCTTTACATTTATTAGATAGGTGAGGTCCAATTGTCATTAATAAAGAGAGAGATAGACACAAAAATTTCACATAACCAGGTCATACGAAATTTTAACATTAGAGGATCCATTCTCATATTCTAACTATTATATATGCATTGAGTATTCCCATAAGTAGCCTTATCGTATATTTTGTTATGCATATTAGTTAGGGGGCATTTAAGTCTTTTTATGTTATAACATAATTGAAACGTTGCGTTCCTTTCTTTTATAATAGTTAATACACATGTGCAGCAATTTTTCATTCAGAATCGTTTTTTGCTCTCTCACTTTCACGATATTCATTTTCTTTGGTTCCCTTGTGAAGCTCTGCTAGGGTTTTTCAATCGAAACCCATTGTGACCAATTTGATCTTGCTTCTTGCTATTTTCTGGACTGGTTCTCTTATGTTTGTTCTTGTGGCTGTGATTGCAGGTTCCAATCGACTGATTGGTGGTGTTCTTGAAGAGGACAGATTCAGGGTTGGTTCGGTCTAGGAGCTCCACGCGGTGCTAGAGGAGGATTCTCTTGTGTTGTGGATTCCTGGTAACCTGAGCATGTGCATGTGTGATTTGGTATACTGCTGTGTTTGTAATAGCATGACAGTGACTGATTTCTTGATTTGGTCCGTGTAATATTTGGGGCTTTAGGGTTTTCTGTGGGGCTTTGGTTATAAGCTGGAACTGAATATTGTGTATCCTGTTCTTTCTTGATTTACTTAGTGCAAGTGCCAGGGAGTGGTCTCCCTAATTGATCCTTGACGTAGGAAACTTGGTAACACAAGTTTCTGAACAAGTAAAAATCTTGTGTGTGATTTTCCTCTCCTTACTCCTCTTTTCTGTTTAAAGAAATAAAAGAAAACCAGAAATTTCTCCACTGTAATTTCAACAATTGGTATCAGAGCTTAGGTTGCGTGCCTCATGTTGCCTGCTTCTGTGCTTTGTAATTGCTGATCCATGTTGATTGCCTTCTTTCTTGCAATTCTTTATTATATGCTTTATTCTGCTTCTGCAATTACTGTTGTTTCTGAATTCTTTATTTCAAGAATATTATCTGTTATTTTTTTCGTGCTTCCTCTCCCCTTCTTTCTTGTATCGCGTATGTTCTGTTTGCTGTCTTGGTTGCTGAAAGTCATCAAGATGGGCACTGCACGCGTGGAGGTGGAGAAATATGATGGCAAAGGAGACTTCAATATGTGGAGGAAGAAAATGAAGGTTGTACTGGTTCACCAAAAGTGTTCCAAGGCCTTAGGTGGTGCTAGGGATCTTCCTGACACCATGAGTGCTGAGGATAAGGAGGAAATGCTGGAAACTGCATTCAGTTTGCTGATTTTGCACTTGACTGACAATGTGCTTAGACAAGTGGATGATGAAACCACTGCTGCTGGGGTTTGGTTAAAGCTGGAATCCCTTTTCATGACTAAGTCCTTATCAAACAAAATTTATCTTAAGGACAAATTGTTTGGATTTAAAATGGACTCTAATAAATCATTAGATGAGAACTTAGATGAATTTAAGAGGATAACCATAAGCTTGGCTAATACGGATGATAAAATCTCTGATGAAAACCAAGCCATTATACTCTTAAATGCCTTGCCTGATGCTTTCAAGGATGTGAAAGTTGCAATTAAGTATGGTAGGGAGTCTTTGTCCCTTGAGGATGTGTTGACAGCTTTTAGGTCTAAGGAATTGGAGATGAACTCCAATAAAAAGGCTCCTATAGAGGGGCTGAATGTCAAAGGGAAATCCAAAAAGAAATCTCAGTTTAACAAGAATAAGGGAAATAATAATAATCAAAATAAAAACAAAGACCAAGGTAAGCAAAAGTTAATCTGCTGGTTATGCCACAAGGAAGGGCACATGAAAAAGAACTGCCCGGAGAAGGGAAAGCAACAAGCTGCCCCTTCTAATAATCACAAGACAGATTATGCAAATCTGTTAACTGGTTATAAGAGTGGTGAGCTGTTGGTCTTGTCTGATAACTCCACTGATTTGGGGTGGGTGTTGGATTCTGGGTGTACATTTCACATGACACCCAAGAGAGAGTGGTTAAGTGGTTTTAAACCATTTGAGGGAGGTAAAGTGTTAATGGGAAATGATGATACTTGTCAAGTAACAGGTATTGGGTCTGTCAGTTTCAAGATGGGTGATGGGACTGTCAAAGTCCTAAGGGATGTGAGACTTGTCCCCACCCTAAGGAGAAATCTAATATCCTTGGGGATGTTAGACTTGAATGGTTACAACTTTAAGAGTGAGAAAAGAACTCTAAAGGTTGTTAAGGGGTCTATGGTGGGTAAGCTAGTGAATGGGTTATACATTTTAGATGGTGAGGCCATAGGACTGGAGTCCTGTGTGGCCTTGAAGAGTTCTGATCTGCCTCTTCTTTGGCATAAAATATTGGGGCATATTAGCAACCAAGGGTTGGAAGAGCTATGTAAACAAGGGATCCTTCCTTTAAAGAATTTTTCCCCTCTTGACTTCTGTGAGAGCAGCATCCTAGGGAAGTCTCATAGGCAAAGCTTCACAGCAGCCAAGAATCAAACAAAAGGGACCCTTGATTACATTCACTCTGACCTTTGAGGTTCTCCCAATATTCCTAGTTCCCTTTCGGTTTGCCACTACTTCCTCTCCCTTATAGACTCCTATTCAAGGAGGGTGTGGACTTATTTCCTAAAGCAAAAGGATCAGGCTTTTGATTGCTTTAAGGAATGGAAGGTTGCTGTTGAAACTGAGAAAGGCATGAAGGTTAAGGTACTTAGGACTGATAATGGTCTTGAATTTTGCAATAATCAATTTTCTGATTATTATAAAGAACATGGCATTGCTAGACATAGAACATGTGTTGAAACACCTCAACAAAATGGTATAGCTGAGAAGATGAATAGAATTTTAAATAAAGTTAGATGCATGTTATCAGAATCTGGCTTAGGTAAAAAAATTTGGGCTGAGGCTGTTTCAACAGCATGCCATGTGATAAACAGATCTCCCTTATCTATTTTAGCCTTTAAAACTCTTATGGAGCTTTGGAATAATAGAATTCCTAATCTGAACTACTTGAAACCTTTTGGGTACTTGGCCTATGTACATTTTAAGCAAGATAAGCTTGGGCCAAGGGCATTAAAAGTTGTTTTCATTGGTTACCCTAAAGGCACAAAGGGTTTCAAGTTGTGGCTGATGAGTGAAAAGAAATGTATAATTGGTAGGGATGTTACTTTTGATGAGCTAACTTTCTACAAAGATATTTTGCAGGTTAAGGAGCAAAATAACCACCCCAATAAGGTCCAACTGGAGGTGGAGCAATCTGCCCATACAAGGCAGAATGCTAATGTCTTTGATCCAGGAGAGGATCATGAGGATTCTTCTGAAAATGAACAAGAAAATACTTCTGATGTCCCTAGGGAACTAGAGACTGAAAATAACCAGCAAGGACAAGTTCCTACTGATTATTTGTTGTCCAGGGATAGAGCTAGGAGGCAAATAAGACCTCCTAGCAGATTTGCACATGCTGATATTATTGCTTTTGCTTTGCAGGTTGCTGAATTGATGGAACAAGAGGAACCAACAACCTACATGGAGGCAATGAAGACAAGTACTTGGAAGGAATGGCATACAGCAATGGAGGATGAAATGGATTCACTGATAAAGAACCAGACGTGGCTCTTAGTGGACAGACCTCAACATAAACGTGTAATTGGATGTAAGTGGGTTTTCAAAAGAAAACCTGCCATCCCTGGTGTAGAAGGATCAAGGTATAAAGCTAGGGTGGTAGCCAAAGGCTATGCCCAAGTGGAGGGAGTAGATTATAATAAAATTTTCTCTCCTGTAGTTAAACACACTTCTATTAGACTTCTTTTATCTGCTGTAGCTACTTTCAATTTAGAATTAGAACAGCTAGATGTTAAAACTGCCTTTTTGCATGGTAATTTAGAGGAGCAAATTTTTATGGAGCAGCCTGACGGTTTCATAAAGAAAGGCTCCAAAGACAAAGTCTGCCTTCTTAGGAAATCCTTGTACGGCCTGAAACAATCACCTAGGC